CCGAGGCTGTTTATCTTTTTCTAGGAAGGTGACCAAACTTTCATTACACTCTGATTGGGATGAGATGCGATACTTTTTTTGCATCTTATCCTTGGCGAGAGGTCTGTTTCTCTTCTGCGGATCCGTCGAGTTTCGCGATTGCGATAACGGATGTGTTGTGTCAAGTTATGGAGTATTTTATCCTCTTCTCTGACACTCCCACCGATAGCAAAGCACGCCCATGGTTTAACGCTGAATGCACCCAAGCTGAAAAGCGCAAGCATTTAGCGTACCTATCCTGGGTTGACGCTTGAAACCGCAAAGCTCCGGATATTAGCTCCAAGACGAAAACTTTCAACTAGACCGCCAAGTCCTACAAAAAAGCATTACGGAAAGCTAGTCTCGATCGCATTAAACATATTGGCGCAAAACTCTAATCTTAACCATGCGGCACTAGAGCTTTTTGGTCTCTCGCCAAAGCGGTCGAGACAAACTTCTGACCGCATACACTGCCTCCGCAGGTAAAACTGGATGGCACACTGGCACATATTATCTCACTGCGGTACCTCTATGTCGGAGGTTCGGATCTCAAATAAGGAGGTTGTTAAAACTTTGTGGTGTCTAGACTAGATGGTATAGCAGCTATAGATCTAAAGGCTTATTTCTGCCGCGCTGACACGCTTGTTCCGCCTCTCATGTAGGAATAGTGCCAAAATCCTGGAATCTGACGAACGTGCAGCCTGTTTCAAAAAAAGGAAATGTATTTCAGCAATAAATTCAAAATGTATTGCTGCCATATATGGACTGGTGCTGCAAAATGCCACCTAGCAGCTTTGAACTCAATAGAATGTTGTGCTAAGAGGCTTATTAGTGACTCAAATTTGGTAAAAACAGTCTTACCATCCTCGAACACAGGCGCAAAGTAGCCAGCCTTTCAGTTTTCTACAGGATACATTTCGCAGAGTCTGCACAGGAATTGCATAATTTAATTCCTCCCTCTCCCTTCTACCATCGGACAACCAGACGTTTGGCCAGGCTCCACCCTTTCATTGTTGACTTCCTTGATTTTTGTTCATGGTACGAGCTATACTGCAGCTATATTTGTAGTATAGTTGTAGCATCAATGGGTCGGCTCGACCGGGGAAGGACCACGCTCTCATAGAATACGATCTTACAATAACAAATCAAATCAAATCAAATCTGTTTATTATGTGAACATAGCTTAATTTACATAGCTCGATATGTACATAATAAAATACATGGTAGGTTATTTATGTCCCGCCAGTAGGCATACAAAATATAAAATTAACAAGTGCAAAATTCATTAATAACATTCATTTATTATTTTCTCTTCTGATGTCAGGTTCTAATTGAAATCATTATATAATATATTAATAATAATAATTATGAAAAACTTAGATATAATAAAGGTATAGTTTACATACAATAATTGTTATCATTTTATCTAATTGTCATCTAGTATTAATTGGCACATGTCATGATAATAATGTAGTCAATGCAGTTTAATAATATAATATTTTTATTGTCAAAATGTATCATTAAGGTGAATAAGGTGAAAGCGCTTGGGTGGCCCACGTAATTCAATTTTTCTTAGGTTTTTTGGAATTTGCAAGTCAGGAACAGGTTGTATGTTTAACAAAATATTATTCGCGACCGTAACCAGTATGTGTTTACAGAATTATTGTCATTAAAATCGCCAATACAACCCTCTAAGTTCATATAATCCCTTTGAATGAGTTTTTCTGGAAATAGCCATACAATGGGATTATACGAACTTAGAGTGTGGTATTGATGATTATAATGATTACTATCACAAATGATACTTATCACAATATAGGGTTACCAGAGTGATTATTATCAACAGTCAATAAAAGTTATTATTCGGAATTTGCAGGGCTTGCAAGCAAAAATAAATGTATAAAACATAATAACTTTTCTTTGTACTCGGCGACGTTTCCCCGAGAAATATTGGCACGGCCGGTGTATAGAGCATCACCAGTGTTGTCATCTGCATAGCAGTGAATGCTACCGGTTTGCAACATATCTTTGATATGAAGAAGAAACAACGTTGGTGATAGCGCGCAGCCTTGTGGAACACCCGCGTTAATAGGCTTGTAGTCGGAGCATGCACCGTCTACAACCACCTTGATGCTTCGATCTGCAAGAAAGTTGGTGATCCAATTGCACAATTTTTCGGGAAGCCCATAGGAAGGGAAATTCGAAAGAAGCGCTTAGTGCCAAACCCGATCGAAGGCCTTCGCAATGTCCAAACTAACGGCCAACGCCTCCCCCTTGGACTCTACTGCCTCCACCCATCTATGAGTTAGGTAGACCAGAAGATCACCAGCTGATCAACCCCGACGAAAACTGTATTGGCGGTCACTAATCAGCTGGTGATCTTCAAGGTACCGCATGAGGTGGCAGTTTATAACGGATTCCATTATTTTGGAGAACAAGGGGGTGATGGCGATAGGCCTGTAGTTGGACGGATATGAGCGGTCGCCATTTTTAGGGATCGGGTGGACAAATGCTGTCTTCCATGATTTCGGGAGTACGCCTAGGGAGTAGGAGTACCGAAAAAGACGCGTTAGAACCGGTGCCAACTCCGGAGCACACGTCCTCAGCACAATTGGGGGAATTTTCGTCAGGACCACTCGACTTGTGGATGTCCAGGGAGAGGAGTGCTTTGCGAACCAGGCGCTGTGAGAACCGCACATTCGGCATGGAGCACTCACACCGCGGGATGGTCGGCGGTGTGTTCCCCCCGTCATCAAGAGTTGAGTTGGACGCAAAGAGAGAGCTCAACAGATCGGCTTTCTCTTTTGCGGCGTGGGCCAGTGAGTCGTCCTCCCTGTGCATAGATGGTAGTGATGGCTTACAGAAATTCCAGAGACCAAAATGCACGGGTTCCCGAAAGAAGGCGAACTAGTTTCTCGCCGATTCTGCCTATGTGCTCTGACTTTGCCTTGGCAATAGCTCTTTCGAAGGACCTGGAGGCGAAGTTATATTTCTTTTTAAGTATGCTGGTGTTTACATCCCCAGTCGCCGAAGCCGTAGCCCAAGCTTGATAACACTCCTGCTTACTGCGTAATGCAGTCTTACAGGAGCGACCACAGATGATGAAATAAATAGTTCCATTCCCTGTAGCACCACATCAGTGACAGAGTCAGCAACAGCGCTGGGATCATCCGGCGAGAAGCAAATCCGCCCCATGGGTAGGAAGCACAGAAAGATCGCATTCCATCCCAATCCGCCGACCTGTAATGCCAAACACGGCGGCAACCTGCAGGACGCAACCGTGAGGGGAGCGTGAGTGGCACCACACTCCGGATCAGACAATGGTCCGAAGAGCCAAGAGGAGCGTTGACGGAAACCCGATATCCGTCCGGATGAGAGGTCAGCAGAAGGTCCAACAGGGAAGGTGTATGATCCTCAACATCTGGATTCCGCGTGTGCGATGTAACCAGTTGTGTTAGACCATATGCCAAGGCAAAGTCGTAAACAGATCTCCCCGCATGATCGGTTAAACGTGAACCAAGCCATTCGGCGTGGTGGTTGTAAAAATCGCCAAGGATCACGATCTCTGCGGATGAGACCTGTTGTAGCAAGGAATCTGTAGCCATCTGGCGTGGTCGATGAGTCGGTCTGTTTCGGCATTACCGCTATGGGACCTATAGAGGTACCCGTAGACGCGCGAATGGTCCACGCTGTCAAAGTATGGACAGGTCCGAACCTTCAAGGCTACCGAGGCGTCGAGAGCAGATGTCCTCTCTGACGTATACGCAAACTCCAGCCCGAGGCACAAATGAGTGCTCCAATTTGTACCCCGGGTATGAGAGATACGAAGTATCAGCCGGAGAGGACACCTGCGTCTCGGTCAGAAAGAGCAAGGGCGGCTTCGCCGTCTCGAGATGGTAGTGGACGGCGTTTACGTTCAAGTGAAGTCCCCTGATGTTGCAGAAATTCACGGATAGCGTGGCAGGGGTCGCCTTGGTCTTGTTGCTTAGTTTGCCCCGAGCAGTTATTGTGTTGAGCCCCCCCCCCCCCCCCCAGAATACGCGAGGCAGCCTGAGCACCCACGCTCAGGAGTGGAATAGCATGGTCGTGGATGCTCAGCGAGAGATTCTCCAGGGGTGCTGGTACCCTCCTGGGGTTGTCTATGATGTAATTCCGCTACCGTGTTGATGGAGTGGGGGAGTGCGGGGGGGGGGGGGAAATGGGGCCACCGGTCACCTGCACTCACCAGACGAAACGCGGAAGCAGAGATTCCACTTCACGCCAGTATTCTGTTAGGTTATGGTACTAACCCGGCCCGAGCCGGCCCATACGTGCAACAGCAAAAGCTGCTGCGTGGCTTTACCGCTACCACTGTTAAAATTGATAAAATCTTCCAAAATCGAAGCTGTTTAAAAATAAATCACAAATTTAATTAATTATGTTGCTAAAAGGCTATAAAAATAATCTTGACCAAGTAATTAGTACGGTACTTATTTTAGCATTTTCTGTAAATTTTGGCCAATAATAGTTGCATTTTCTGAACGTAGATTTGGCATAAAATATTTTTAGAGTTGATAGCATTGGTTTTTATTTTGATTCTACATTTTAATTGTATTTTGGCGGGAACTTGACCAGCGGTGGATTGTTGCCCCTGTATTACTGTTTAAATTATAGTTTGAAGTGGATTTTAATATGTAAAAGAACTATTAGAGGGAATGTAACAAGTGCTTCGATGGTAATGTGAATCTCAAGGTAAAGTGTCTGTCTTCTTAGGCACCTTGAAATACTATCGCCATTTGTCGGCTGACTCAAGTTGCAGTCGAAATCTTCTAAAAATTACGCAATATGACGCATCAATCATACTGAAAATCTATAAAAAGATTATCCCGAATGAAATGAAGATGGCTGAAAGAACAAGCATCCCATCCAAAATCTGATTTTTTACAAGCATCCAATGCAAGTCTTAATCATAGACTTTGTGAATTATTCTAAATCTATGGTCGTAATAAAAAACATTAAAAAAAATTGTTTAATTCTGAATTCTGCTAATCTGCTACATATTTATTTATCTATGGTTTAATTACTTTTAGGCAAAATTAGAATAAGATTAGATTGGATTAGATCCAACAAATGTGTTTAATACTTATTGTTCCAAGATCTTGTAATTAGTTGTATGACAGATTTTGCGTTTTAAAAAACATAGGTACTATGTCATTTCTCATGCTAAACCTGTGCTAAACAGATTCTCAATAAAATTAACCTTTCGTCATTGTGAATTGATTTCACTAATTGCTTGTGATTAGTTAGCTGAAAATATAACCGCAGATATTATAAATATGGCGAAAGAAGAGGATGATGACAATTTGCCTGATAAAGATGCGGCGAAAGAATTTTACGCAAAATATGAACCCAAAGAAATCATAGGCAGGTATGTTAAATAATATATGAAATATATTGCCTAATTGAATGGCATATTGTGCGTTCTAATAACGTTGTTGCATATAATTTTGAGTTGATTGAAAGGTAAACATTACTTTATAATTTGCGACGTTAAAGGTTTTCAGTTGACCTCTAAAGAAGTTCGCACTTGTGATCTACTTCAATAAGTCTCAATGCTTTTTTCCATATCACGGTTGTCCTTAAGTAAACTCTTGTATTTGTTACTACATACTCAGTAAATACTCTCAGGCTGGCTTTTCACTATGGGATATAATATATATTATATCCCGAAATATAAATTATATCCCACGATTGGCTTTCATACTGTGAGATATATCTTTTAACCAATGTGCGTTCGTCATTGGTCATTGGATTACCCCCTTAACCCCGTACACCATTCTGTAGGGGCGGGGTACAGGGGGCGAAATATAACATGAAAATATTGCTCGGTCGATCGAAAAAATATTTATAGCTTGAGATGTAATATATATTATAGCTCAGTGTAAATGGTTCCATATGAAATGTATGGTGAGTGATATTAATTTATATCTTGAGATGTAATATATATTATATTATATCCCATAGTGAAAAGTGGGTTTTATGCTGTAAAAGTAATGTTATTATTATATTTAAAAATCTTTAGTGACTTCTTTTTGATTATGATCATTACCATTACAGTTACAGCCTATTAAAGTCTACTACTGTAGATATGCCTCACAAGGGGGATATTTGCCATAGTTGCTTAGAAGCAACACATATTGCTGGGCCTAATGCGAACTGTATAGATAACATTTTTACAGATTTTAAGCCCTTGCATAAATCAATTATTCAAAATTTAAGTTCAGATCACTGTGGACAGTTGGTATCATTGCCTTACATACACAAGAAACAGAAAAATAAGAAAGTTGTGTTTGTTCCAATAAATGAAAATCGCTTGGAGAGGTTTAGAAGTAATATAATAAAAAGACTTCCATCACTTTCATTTAAAAACAGTGCTAATTATTTGTATGGTACATTATTTAAAATTATAACTTGTGAATTTAGTAGGATATTTACTTCTAAAACTTTCTCTATTAACAGTCGCAAATCATTTAATGAATGGGCGACAGTAGGAATTTATAAGAGTAGGTGAAAGTTATACAAGCTTTATAATGAAAGATCATATAATAGTAGTGTTATATTTAGAGATTATGTAAAAACATATTCTAAAATATTTAAAAAAGTGTGCTCCACAGCTAAGGCTTTACATTTAAGTAACAAAATTAAAACTGCATCTAACAAAATTAAAATGACCTGTAGATTAATAAATAGTGAAACGGGCAAGGTCAAACCGCGCAACTCGGATTTTCAATTGAATATTAACAATCATTTAACTCGATCTGATCAAGAAGTTGCTATGGCTTTTGAGAAACATTTTACCGATGTTCCTTTTTTGACAACTAAATCATTAAACTCTTCTCCTACTGTCGCTGAATCATTGCTCAAACAAAATGTAAAGGCTTGTTCAAATACTTTTAAATTCCATAGAGTACAGCCAAAAGATATTGTTAAATATTTTAAATTTATTAATATTAAGAAAACGGCAGATTTATGGGGGATTTCCGTTAAAGTTATTTTATCTATAATAGATATAATAACACCTTATCTAGCCACTATATTTAATACAAGCGTCGAATCTGGTGTGTTTTCTGATTTAATCTGGTAGTACATTAGACCGCCAATTTTAGACCAATTTCTGTACTACCAACATTTGGTAAAATTTTGGAAAAAATAATTTTAGATCAGATGTTAAGTTTCTTTAATATTAATAAATTGCTACATAAAAATCAATTCGGTTTTACAAGGGGTCGCTCAACAACTGACGCTGGAGTTGAGCTTATTAAACATATTTTTTATGCATTGGAGAATTCAGAGGATGCTTTGGGTATATTTTGTGACCTTTCCAAGGCCTTTGACTGCGTTCACCAAGAGACATTAATCAGGAAGCTACAGTAGTATGGTGTCAAGAACACAGCGCTTAAACTTATTATTTCATATTTAAGTCATAGAATGCAGAAAGTTATTATCAATGGTAAAAGTTCTTCCGGGTCACCTGTACTAATTGGTGTCCCTCAGGGCTCGATTCTCGGCCCATTCCTATTTCTAGTGTATATTAATGACTTACCTTTTCTTGTAGGGGATAATCATGATATAGTATTATTTGCTAATGATACTTCCTTGATTTTTAAACTTAAACGTCAATCATTTAAATGTGACGAAGTGAATAATGCTATATCAAAATTAGTGCATTGGTTTAACGTTAATAATCTACATTTAAACGGAAATAAAACTAGCGTACCAATGAGTTTTTAAATGGAGAAGAACTGAGCCCTGTTGAATCCACTGTTTTTTTTGGCATCACTCTTGACGCAAAGCTTCAGTGGGGCCCCCATATGTCCAAACTAGCAAGCAGACTAAGTTTTGCACAGCCTATGCTGTAAAAAAGATTAGAGGTCTCATTAGTGTCGAGACAGCTAAATTAGTTTATTTCAGTTATTTCCATAGCATAATGTCTTATGGGATTTTGTTATGGGGAAATGCGGCTGATTCAGAAACTATTTTTGTTTTACATGTTCACAAACATGTTCACAAAAACAAAGGTAGTTTTAGTAAAAAAAGTGATATACATTCTGTAAACACTAGAAACAAACACAAGCTAGTGATACCAGTTTCTCGACTCCACAGAGTCAGTAAATAATTCTTGGGGCAATGTATATGCTATTACAACAAGGTCTCGGAAAGAGTACAGGCTCTATCTATTACCAAGTTTAAATGTTTTGTTAAGTTGAAAGTGTATAAAAAGGGTTATTATTATAGTATAAATGAATACATGGTTGATAATAACCCCTGGGAATGAGGCGGTCGCTTCCAAGCTGTTTCTAAAATAAATTTTGTACTTATATAGTTTGTACAACCATTAATGTAAAATTTGCTTTAAAAAAAGTCCCGGTTTCTTGCTGGTATTTTTTATTTATATATTTTTTTTCTATATCAGAGGCATTAGCTCTACAGTCAGAAGGTGCATAGAAAAAGAAACAGGTCATGAGTATGCTGCCAAGATAATAGATCTCAGTCAGGAGTCTCAGGATGGTGTTGATACACAAACAATGAGGGATGCCACACGCCAGGAGATCTATATCCTCAGGATGGTGGCTGGTCATCCATACATTAGTGAGTGAGTTGTTATTAATTTTCAGGAATACGAGTTGTGTTTACATACTACTTAAACAGTGCACACTACTGTTAAAAGGTAAAGTTACAGCCTATATATGTCCCGCTGCTGAGCACAGGCCTCCCCTCATTTCTGAGAGGGTTTTAGGGAAGGAAGTGTCCGCCTAGTTGCCCTAATGCATGTTGGTGAACTTCACATGTCTTCATTTTTTTGTTCTTATTTCTCAGACATGCAGGTTTCCTCACGATGTTTTCTTTCACTGCTGAGCATGTAGTAAATCGGGACTTAAAATTGCAGTTAACAACTTCATTGGTGCTGGTATCTATAGTTCAGCAGTGGACTTTTGATGGATTGTAATGAATGAATAATGAATTTGGTGAATAGAAATACCCACAACCTGAGTATAATTAAGTTCATTTCCTCAAACATTATGACTATATTTTAAGATTTTGTTAAGTCTAGTGTCGAATGTTGTACATATTTAAAAAATCAACAAACATGAATCTTTTATTCAAGTAATTACTCATGTTTCAAAAAAAAAATGGGTCTAATTTTGCTTGTTTTTTACCAAAATATATCTTCTTGATATGACTTTCCATTTTCTTGGCCTACTTAATACAATTATCTATGCTATTCAGGGCATTTTCAGATTTGACGGTGCTAACAGTATGAAACATGACTTCTTCCTCTGATGAGTTGTCCGGTCCAATGGTATAATTTAAAAGCTCATTGTCAGATAAATGAGGCTCATATATTTCAGGGTTTTTTTCAAACCAACCTTCAAAATCATTGCGTGTTAAGCCCGCATTTGGAATTGTTGCTAATCATATTACTTCTGAGGGTATCACATCTTCTTTTTCCCAATTCTCGTCGCCTTCGGTAATGGAAGGCCACCATTTTTTCCAAGATGATTTGATAGTTCATTTTTCTACTTCATCCCATGCATCAGAAACAGTTAAAACTGTGTCTTTGATATTCAATTGTTTCAAAGTTTGCCTCTCGACTTATCGAATTAAGTAAATTATTGTTTTTGTAATTCTTTTTTATCATTTGTATGATGTCTTGATCCATTGGTTGGTTAAGATGCGTACAATTAACCGGCAGAAAAATTGTTTTGATAGAGCCATCGTTAGATGATAATTGATCGTTTGAGCTGTGGTGCATTATCTAGGACAAGAAGCACTTTTTGTGGTAAATTTCGTGACTTCAAGAATTGCTTTACGTCAGGCACGAAATCATAGTGAAACCAGGTGTAAAACAATTCCTTGGTTACCCATCCCTTATTTTGACTCTTTTAAACAACTGGAATGTTGACAATTCTTGAATGGCCTAGGGTTTTTAGACTTTCCAATAACTAAAAACTTCAGCTTACGGTGAAACAGCTGCCTCATTGTTGGACAACTTCTCTCCAGCTACAGTTAGCAGTCTCAAGCTAAATCTTGTTTTAAACTTGGAAAGCCATCCTTCACTGGCTCTAAAATCAATCTTTTTATAAATTTTCTCATAGAAATGAAGTGCTTTCTGCAGCAACATATTGCAGTTATTGGTGTGTGATGTCGACACTCTTGCAAGAACCATGAAAAAGGGTTTCTCCTAACTGTGGGTATTCACTAGTCCTCATAGTTTGACGTTTCCTTATTAGAGATTCAGCTGTAGTGACATAATTTTCAATTTCGTCTATTCTTTCGAAAGTCACAAACCATTGATCGCCCTATATGAAACTAATTTGCAATGTCTGTAAAAGGCACACCGCTATCCAATTTTTTCAAAATTTCTATCTTTTCGTGTTTTGTGGATTGTTCGGGTAATGACGACGCCATTTTGGACGCTTTCACCCCAAATGTCGTGGGCGGACTAAAGAGTGGTTGCGTGGTGAGTGGTGAACCGTGCGGCGGAGTATAGAATTATTTTCGTCTTATGCATGAAAGAGAGGTAAGACGGCGGATTATCGAGTCGAAGACTTTCAGTGTCTGCGGATTACAAAGTTCAATCAAGACCAATCTCCAGTCGGATTATCTCTACTCTCTGTACTGTACTGTATATTTATTAATCTCATTACAAAATAATTTTAACTACAAAATTTGAAATACATACACATTCCAGCTGTAGTGCAACTCAGCCTGTACTGTAATACTTTTCACATTATCTGGAGACTACTAACCTGTTTTTGCTATGCCTATCAAAGTCCACTGCTGAAGATAGGCCTCCCCAAAGAGGTGATGTTTGTTTGCCATGGGCAACAAGCAACTCGTAGGGGGGTTGGCAACTGCCGCCTATTATTTTCTAGTTTTTACTAGGAATTCACTGCTGCCCATCTTTTGGACTTTTTTCCTCTATGGTGCTTTATAATGACACCTACGGGACGGGATGCGGTAGTAGATATTCTTCACCGTCACTACATAATCAACTTGTTGAACAGACATGTAATTTGTAGGGCAGATCATAAGGTGTTGCCTCTTTTTATCAAAAAGAAAAACAGTTTGTTTAAAAGTAATATCTTCTACAAACTTCTTTAAGAGTTTGCTGGGTTATTTTGTTCTATTACAGAATATGGAACGGAATAAAATGATAATTTAACAAACTAAAATTGTATATTCATCAATGTATTACTTTATATTATAAACCATCTTAGCATCATGACAATATAATCTAACTACTTTGTAGCATGTTTTGCAAAATTAAAGCCTAAGGATATAAAAAGAAAGACAAAAACTTAATAGTTTACAACATCTTTTTGCTTTGGAACAACCCATTTGCCATATTTTTAGTCTTCATACTATTGCCAGGGTCCCACAGTGGCCTGTTAATAGGCTGTTAAAGTAAGAAGACAATGTTTTTAAATTATTCATGTCATACATTTTTATGTCTTTCTTCTTCTTATTTAGATTTTCGTCATTTTATATTAACCACCAAATTAAAAAAAAAACATCCTGAAATGCATATAATTGATCCCTTTTTTAAAATTACTAGAGTATGTAATGTCCTTAAACCTGACTTTGCTTATGACAACACTGTTAGACGTTGTACACTGTACATTAGATTATAATATCTTTAAGTGTATGTTCTACAACAGAGGTAACTCAGTTGTCCTAATTTAACCATGTCCATTCTCTCGTAATACTGCATTGCCATAACTGTATGGCCAAGATGCAATTTTGGAAACATGGACAATCATGACACAACTATTGCCGAAAAAGAAAACTTATTGTAATGGTAGTTCCATCCGGGATTAGAGTCAGCTCCGATTGCAACATATAGCCAGGTACTCTGACTAGTAGCCATGTGAAGATTACAATAATCGAAGAAAAAAATCTGTAATAAATATATTTTGTACTGTCTATAAGAAAGTTTATTTCTTGGTTTTCTAAGAATATGCTTGTTCACAGTCGAACTGCAAGATGTATTTGAGTCGGAGACATTCATCTTCTTGGTGTTTGAGCTGTGCAAGAATGGCGAACTATTCGACTACCTCACGTCCGTCGTCACTCTATCCGAAAAGAAGACTAGATATATTATGAGGTGAGTATGTATAACATTTTCGATTAAGTCACTAGTAATAGTGACAATTGTATCGCGTAGTGAAGAGAGAAACGTTTGCACAAATGGTGGGTTCCTTTTATCTTTGTGTCTGAAATTGCGTCCATTTAAAATGCGTTCTTACTACACTTTTGGCTTACGTATTACGTATTGATTCCGTTTTTATTATTATAAAGCGCACAGCTTTAAACATTTGAACACTTGTTTGAAGCTATGTGTGGCACGGGACTTTAAATCAATGTTCAAATAAGTGCGCTACGAAATGCACGTTGACAAACGGTTTCGGTTTTTGTTTGCGTAACCAGGCAGGTTACGCAATTGCGCAAAGTTCATTCGCGCGAGCGTTGTCCAGCGGGACCGTCGTGCGCGGTACGTTTTAAAAATACCTAGGTCCAAGCATAAAGACAGTAAAAAACAATCGAATGAATGTTGTTTGTATGGTCAGCTGTTACCTGACTACTACTACTACTATTTTAATATAGTTTTTGAAAATAGTTCATATTGTCTTAATCTATGTCCATACGTCCTAACGTCCATACGTGGTAGAGCCATGCTGCAGCTATATTAATAGTATAGTTGTAGCACGAATGGGTCGCCTCGACCGGGGAAGGACCACGCTCTCACAGAATACCAGCAAAAAATAGCAGCTTAATGCTGCTGTGTTTCGTATGGCGAGTGTAGAGAACCGGAGACCCTTTTTACTGGAAAAGAGTCATTCTATCTTAGTTCTCACGGCTGACTACGCATCTGCATTTTAATTCGCAATCGAAGATAGATGTAGATGTCTATAGGCCACAGCAACCACTTACCATCAGGTGGACTGTGTGCTTGTTTGTCACCATTATTCTGCAAAAAAAAAAGTTAAAATAGACAAATTTAAATGTGAATAAATATTTTATTATCTTAAATGAAGTATAACACCATGTTTACCATGTATAAAGTAAAGCTGTTAAGAGCGGCAACGTCGTTTTGGTTATTTTGTAGGCGCAGTTCATTGAAACCTAATTAAATCCATCTAATAATATTATCTACATTATGTGTAAAATTTACTAAAAGAAAATAAAATGTATGTGTCTATTTGATCTTTTGCACGATAAAAACGCCATTTTAGTTGTAACATTTTATTGTATGGAATCCGTCACCATCCTGTATTATTGGATGAACAAACCCAGGTCTAGTAGATCAACCTATTCTGAGTAAATGCCCTATGAATGAGCTTATTTGGAAGGACTTGTCATAATGGTTTTGACATCTGGCACAATTGCTAATCGCAGCAAACCGATACTTACTCGAGGTATGGATCATATATTTACATATGTATTTGTGTGTCAATCATGTAAAAACTACTGAATGGATTTTGAAATGAAACTTGACAATTTTATAGATATTATACCAGAATAGGACATAGGCTATATTTTAACCGATTTCAAAAAAGGAGATTCTCAATTCGATTGTATTTTTTTTGTGTTACCTCAGAACTTTTATATGAAACCACATGAGAAGAATTCCCTTAATATTGATACTAAACTAAATAAAAAAATCATCAAAATCGGTTCACCTAGAAAAAAGATCTACGGTAACACATAAAAAATACAGTCGAATTGAGAATCTCCTCCTTTTTTTGAAATCGGTTAAAATATAGCCTATGACCTATTCTGGTTTAATATCTATAAAATTGTCAAGTTTCATCAAAATCCATTCAGTAGTTTTTACATGATTGAGACACCAACATACAATTATCCAAACAAACTTTAATATTGGAAAAACTACTGTATATATTTGAATTGCGTTTTCTAAGTTTTATTTCTTAGAAAAAAATATTGTGATATCTTCATAAAATATAAAGTTTTAAGAAACAAGGATTTTTATACGGGGTTTTACACACGGTCCACTGTAAGTCGCTTGCTCTCGCGTTAATAACCCAGATAATTTATATATTTTAGCTACAAACTGAGAGCAACGAAATACATTGTTTACAAAGAAATTTTGTCTTTTTGATGTTTTTTCCTTCGCACATACGAAAACTTCGTTAATATATCAAGCAACGCGGATGAAGTCGCGGGTTTCAACTAGTTTATAATATTAAGTAACAGGATTAGTAGAATATTATGCTAGTTATTTTCATAGTACTAATTTATGGTATCTACGATACGACATGGGTCAAGGGATTCTCTTACCCTTTACAACACAACACATATTATTTTTATTTAAAATAACAGCAGAAACAGAAAGAAAAATACTTCTTTGTGTAATTTTTAGCGTTAGGTACTATTTAAAAGTCAATCCGTTGTCGGTTCCGTTCTATTTATCACAAATCTAACTAAACCTTTTAATAATCGTAGGTGTGCGTGCAGTTAAACCGCTTCTTATTGCGGCTTACCAATGGAATGTTAAATGCAAACTACAACGTTGAATAAAACAAATTTTTGCGGATTAAGCGTGTTTAGTTTACTTAGATTTAGCCTCTCCAAGTAGCTGTAATCTCACATGTTCTCAGTTTTTTATTATTATTATGGTTAGATCTGTTCATAAATTACCTTACAGTGTTGTGATTTCTTGCAGTGGTTTCCTTTTTTTTTTAGGATTTAAGAGACGCAGTTAATAACAAAGTACAAAACGATACAGTTTGAGGTAGAGAGAAATTAATTTTAAAAAAAAATATTGCGTGTAATTGTGTACACACGTACGAAGTGAAAATTGTTTACAACAGCATTCTTTCCTTATTTTATATTTTACATAAGTTAAGGTTAAATAATAGTATACTCATGCAGCCCCGGCGCGGCGGTGTAACGTGAAGTTTTTGATCTTTAATACCGTAATAAATTTCTCCGCTATGTTGATAAAGAGGTTTCACTTCAAAAATAATGGAATATGTTTAGTAATAACGTTTGATGTTACACTTTAAATCTGCCTAATCAATTTGCATAAAGCTGACGGAAGCGAGTGTTTCATTGAAAAATCCACGAAACTCCAAAACAAAGTAAGAGAGGATGTATTTCAAGCCCTATTTTTTTCTTGAAAAACTATTGAACGAGCTGGTCTGATTTCTTTACAGCAAAAATGTATCACAGATTTTTATTTTTTATTTATTTATAATATGTACATACACCTATTATGTGATTTGCGTATGTATAAGTAAAATGTATTAAATTTTGTTAAGAAAACAACGATAATTGTAATTATTCTTACATGTGTACTTTTCGGGATGTAAATACCAGCGCTCTTAAAAAGAAGTATAATTCCGCCTCCAGGTCCTTCAAAAGCGTCATTGCCAAGGCAAGGTCTGAGCACATCGGCAGAATTAGCGAGGAGCTAGTTCGCCTTCCTTTTGGAACCCGTGCATTCTGGTCTCTCGCCAAGGCTGTCTAAGGGAACTTCTGTCAGCCATATCTTCCATCTCTGCACAGAGAGGACGACTCACTGGCCCATGCCGCAAAGGAGAAAGCCGATCTGTTGAGCTCTCTCTTTGCGTCCAATTCGACTCTAGATGACGGGGGAACGCACCGCCGACCATCCCGCGATGTGAGTGCTCCATGCCGGATGTGCGGTTTACACAGCGCTCGGTTCGCAAAGAACTCTTCTCCCTAGACGTGAGCAAGTCAAGTGGGCCCGATGGAGTCCCTCCCATTGTGCTGAAGACGTGTGCTCCGGAGTTGGCACCGATTTTAACGCGTCTTTTCCGGTACTCCTACTCCCAAGGCGTAGTCCCGAATCCATGGAAGACAGCTTTGGTCCAACTGATCCCTAAAAAAGCCGACCGCTCAGACCCGTCCAACTACAGGCCTATCGCCATCACCTCCTTGTTCTCCAAAATAATGAAATCCATATAAACTGCCAGCTCATGAGGTACCTTGAGGATCACCAGCTGATTAGTGACCGCCAGTACGGTTTTCGTCGAGGTCGATCAGCTGGTGATCTTCTAGTCTATCTGACTCATAGATGGGCGGAGGCAGTAGAGTCCAAGGGAGAGACATTGGCCGTTAGTTTGGACATAGCGAAGGCCTTCGATAGGGTCTGGCACAAAGCGCTTCTTTCGAAGCTTCCTTCCTATGGGCTTCCCGAGAAATTGTGCAAATGGATACCAGCTTCCTTGCAGATCAGAGCATCAAGGTCGTAGTAGACGGTGCATGCTCTGATTTCAAGCCTATCAACGCTGGTGTTCCACAAGGCTGCGTGCTATCACCAACGCTGTTTCTTCTGCATATCAATGATATGTTGCTAACTGGTAGCATTAATTGCTATGCGGACGACAGCACAGCACGAGTACCGGGACAAACTTGTGTCTGAAGTCGAGTCTTTGCTTAACAAAGTATCGGATTGGGGGCGACTAAATCTAGTCCAGTTCAATCCCCAGAAGACACAAGTTTGCGCGTTTACCGGTAAAAAGAACCCCTTTGTCGTATGTCCTCAGTTTCAAGGCACTCCCCTTGCTGCCTCAGCTAGCATCGGAATCCTTGGCGTCGACATATCGAATAGTGTGCAGTTTCGTGGTCACTTGGAAGGAAAGGCCAAATTGGCCTCTAAAAAGCTTTTCGAGCTCAGCAGAGCGAGACAGTATTTCATGCCGGCACATCGCTTGCAACTTTACAAAGCGCAAATTCGGCCCCACATGGAATACTGTTCTCATCTCTGGGCCGGGGCACCAACCAGCTCCTTCCACTTGACCGCATCCAACGCAGAGCGGTTCGAATCGTCGACGACCGAGTTCTTTCTGATCTGCTTGATACACTGGCACTGCGTAGAGATGTTGCATCTCTTTGCGTATTTTATCGCATCTATCACGGGGAGTGCTCTGAGGAATTATTCGGACTAATTCCAGCTGCTCAATTTCACCATCGCACATCGCGACAAAACTCGCGTTACCATCCATACAATCTGGATGATTGGCGGTCCACCACTGTGCGATATAGAAGAAGTTTTCTCCCTCGCACAACTTCCTTGTGGAATCAATTACCACCAGCGAATTTTCCGGACCGATACGA